GAGTGGTATTCAGATATTTTCAGTGCCAGCACATACATGAGAAGATGTGGAAATGGTGGCAGAAGGTGTTGATATGAGGTTTACCTGTGGATTTGGCTCTCAAATGCAATTTCTAGGTGTCTTTTAGACAGCTAAATCTGCTACTCAGAAGAGCCTCACATCAAAACAGAAAGCTTTCAGCCAGACTGTAGTGAATTTATTAGAAATACAAAATAATGTTTTCAGGCAGTTGTCTGTAATATCTGTCCAGCCCTACTCCTACAAAGCCCTCTGCTTCTTCCTCTCCCTCCAGTTTTCCTGTCTTATCCTGTGTATTTTTAGGCAGTACAACCAGTGAGATCCAGCCTCTACCTGAACTGGGCTCCATTAGGCGAGCTCACTGGGTCATGACATTTAAAGACAGGAAAAGCAAAAAAAGTCATTTGAGAGGTAAGTTAAGAATTAAGATGAGCTTCTGAAGGTGTGGCAGCCCCCAGATCAGCCCACCCCAGTGAGTTTGACTTGTACTGGTTGCCATGAAAAGAGTTGATGTTCTCCAGCCTCTCTTAAAGCGAGCAACTGGGCTGACACAGAGGGATCCTGCAGAGTGCTGCTTTTTGACCTGATCCTGGGAGCCCTTGATTAGAGCATAAAACATGGGTAATGTGAGCCTGCAGTTGTTTTCACTTTTCTGCTTGAGCATGGTGTGCTCAAGGGAGACTTGTGGATGTTTAGGAGTTCACTGGTAATCTTATTTTACCCATTTCTATTACTGATTGAAAAGTACAGGGTTGAGGTGATTTTTTTACTAGTCATGGTTTTTCTGGTGGAGAAATACAAAGAAAATAAATCCCTTTTGACATGGGAAATGATGTTATATTTTCTTTAATAAAGAGTAAATTTTATTGTGCGCCAAGCCAATTTATAAATGTGGTCTCTGTAACTAGCACTTTTAATTACGGGGGGGGGGGGGGCGGGAGGGAAATGGAATTAGTTCATTAATGCTGTGAAAAAGAACAGTGACCTACCTGCCAAATGGCAAGGTGGAAATAATTAATCTGGTCAATTAAAAAGAAACGGATAAATTAAAATGCAAATCCTTCCATGTAGTACATTAAATTAGAGTTGTAATTTCCAGAATGTTGTGTTTATTGTCAGACTTGATCCCTTCTTTTTTTGCTTGCCTTGATTCTGTGTTTGCAAGTCATGATAGTGAGCTCTTTGGTGTTCTATGCTAAATTCCTACGCCCATGCATATTTTGCAAAAGAGAGCCTGCAAGATCAAGCTCTTTGTGAAATCCAACTGATGAAATGTACATGCCTTGTTTTTTATTGTCATATTTCAAACCTCCATATTCCCTTTGCTTTGCTTGTTTTCCCACCGTTAAATGTCACTTGCCTTTCCCTGGGCTTTAAATGACCCAGGCATGGGGCTGAATTGCTGGGGTCATCTCAATCAATTTATGACCTTAAAAATCTGATCCACACAGAAACTACTGGGCTGATGGAGCTGAACCCTAAAGTATCCAGCATATTTGCTCCACAGAACTGGAAGTAGTAAAACAGTTTCTTTTCTATAAATATCAGTAACTCCTCTTGACATTTACAAGTACATAGTATTTTTTTTACACACTGCATGATCTCAAAAGTGCTTAACAGATCAGTGAACTGTGTATCTGCTCAGCATTTGTAACTACAAAGCCATTATGTGCCCTGCACCATCCCTCACAAAAGCCCAGGACATTTGCATTAGCTCCTGTCCATCTCAAGGCCATAAATTGCAATAAGAAATATGGGCTACTTACTGAATGGTTGACCAGTGCTCTGATGCAGCCTACACGCAAATATGAACGTTATTGTTTACTTTAACTAGAGCATATATCATACAGAGCCAATGACTTCTTGTTTGTTAAGATGAGAGTTGCTCTCCTCAGAAATATTTTGGGGCATGTCCAATTGCTAAGGAAAAACCACACTGAAATGCAAAATCTAGGCAGAGGATGATCTGCAAGTTTTATATCTGAAGTGTTAGAACTGGCAAGCATTAAAAATACAGGGGGAGAGCCAAGTCAGATGTTTCTGTGATGTGGTAAAAATAAGCAGGGCGTGTTATAGCCTCTTCAGAAGGTGTGGGTTTGCCTTGTGAGAGGGAACACTACTAGATGGAATAAACAGCTGTGGCCAGAAATCAAATTCCTGGCAGTTCAGCAGCTCTGGTCCTCCTTCTCAAAAACTACAAATCACCAGGGGGATTTCCCTCAGCCCAGCTCCTGCCAGCAGCTTTGCAAAATCACCAGACAGCCTCCACCACATGGTTTCAACTCCTGAACACTCATATGTGTCAATTAGATTTCCTCGCTAAACCCTTAAGACATCATGATTCAGAGCTGAATTATACACTCTGCACCCATTTTTCTTATCTAAACCAGCATATCATTGCCAGTGTCCAGCTGGGAATTTCCTCCTGGAGAGGAGGGACACAAGAAGCTCCTATAAATGACCAAGTACAGGGTGAGGCAAGGGCTGACAAATTTATTTAATTATCATGCAAATGAATACAGAAAATTTAAAATCTACCCTGAGGTATGAAACTTACAAAACTCTTTTAAAATCGTGAGATTTCTCAGCTCTGTCAGTTTCTGCTGTAATGGCCCTATAAAAACTGAGGTTGGTGTCCACTGCTACATGATGGAAGCTATCCCAATTAAAAAAAAAAACCAACTCAAAAACAATTAAAAGGTTGCTGAGACCAGATATGTATGGGAGGCTGTCCTGACATGACAAGCTGTACAAGCATTGCTAAAGTCAAGGATAATCCCAGCCACCCAGAGTGCCGGTACCATTCTCTGGAGTTTGTCTTGCTGGCTTGCAAGTGTCTTCTCACCCTTATGTCATTCCACCAGCCCATGCCCAGGGGGTGTTGTGTCTCACATACAGTTCCATCTCAGATTCAGATGTCTACCCAAGCTGTGTGGTGAGACCATCTTACGCTTCCTGAGCATGTAAGGAAGTGCTCTTGGTGTGTCATGAGCTTAGCTTGTGTGATAGGAACCACGCTTCTCCTCATCCCTGTGTGTTTTTTCTCAGTGCTTTGCTGCCACAAAGTTGTGGTCGTGTATTTGGTGAGATTTGCTCTAGTATTGCATATAACAGCAAAACAGGCATGGGAATAAACAAATCCCAATTTGTGTTTCATGACACTGTTTTCAAACCCACAGCTGAAGGATTGAAGAAGAGAGGGTTTATGATGGACAATAAATGGAACTATTTAAAATATACTGTCAGCAGCCCAGTAAGCTCAGCATTCCAAGCTCTGCCAGGCCCAAAGCAGGGGGTGAGGGGCTGCTCTGCAGGCATCAGGATGCTGCTGCCTGGCCCCAGGAGCCGCAGCCCGGCCTGCTCCTTGCTCTGCACGGGGATGAGCAGCCTTGCAATTGCAGCGGTGCAACCCCAGCGTAGGTGTGCGCTTTGAGGAGGTGTCTCAGCATGCCATATCCTAAGGCACAGATTCCCACAGGTATTTGGAAACCTCCTGCTGAAACAGTGAAGCTCAGGTGCCTACATGCCAGGCGGATTTTGGCCTGAGGGCTCTGTTGCTTCATCCACACAGTTGCTTCACCCCTGACTTTGGGCTAGTGAACGAAATGGCAGAGAGGGTGTGATCATCCTTAAAAGACACTTCTGTGGTCAGAACCCAGTCTTGATGCCTGTATGGTTCAGGTTCCGCTTCCCTATCCCAGGGGAGGGAGAAGAGCTGCTGCTCACTGCACTGGGGGCAATTTTCCTACTCAGGGCACCCCTGAGTGTGTCCCTGCCATGGGCGATCCCTCCTGGGGCACAAAGGAGTGGAGGGAAGCACACATTCACCCATGGCTGAGCTGCCACAGTGTGGCAGCTGTGTGATCCAAACTTAAGTTGGCCTTCCCTGCTTATGAAAATTCATATTTTTCCAACAGGATGTGTCTCCATATGTTATCTGTATTTGAGACTTCTTCCTCTGCTCTTTGTGTCCCATTGCACCCTTGCTGTACTTGTCCACATGCACCTCTGGACAAGCTTCCAGACTGTGGCATGTTTTATGTGTCTTTATTATGTCCAAGGCTGCACTGGGATTACATGATGTCTAGATTTCCTTGCAGTCAAACTTAATATCCTGAGAAATGGGAAAATTTACTGAAATCCTGCAGCACTGGCCAGGGTGTGGGAGGGTCCACCCTGCTGTTTCCGTGCCTATGTTGTTGCCATGGATGTGCAGAATTTTTTTTTTTTTTTTTTTTTTTTTTTTTGGTGCTGGGAGCAGCAGAGCGGGGTGACGTGGTTTTTTTGTGTGTCAGGATGGGACAAATGCACTTTAGGTAATTTTGCCACTGCCCAATTTAAATTAATGTGAAGTTGTGATGGGAACTTAAAATATGTAAATCTGAAGAAATTTACAGAGGAAAAAATGATGGTGAATATATGCTGCATGAAAAAGGTATTCAGCCTTCTGAGTACTATGGGAAAACAAACAGGAATAGCTGTAAGCAACAATCAGAAGGATATGAAATGTATGCTGGTACTTAGCTAGTATAAATATTCATTGCTTCAGGGGACCCAGGCAAGCCAGCATCAGCTGAGGATATTAGCTACATGTCATGGACTGAAATATTTCTGTGAAAAAGAAAGGGGGTGTCTGTTTGCAACTGTATTTGCAGGCAGAGCCAAAACTCAGTCCCTTGGAGGCACAGAAGTCACCCTGGCTCCCCTGTAGCCCTTAAAGGCTTTATCCCATCCCAGTGCCCTTGCTGCCATCAGTGCTCCTGCTTAGCTGCTCCCAGTCTGGGATTCATTTCAGATGGGACAAATGGCAGAGGAGCTTTGCTGCATAGACGGGACGCTGGGAGAGGGAAGGTGCTGGAGGGTCCCTGCCAGAAGCACTGAGCTGCTCCCAAGGGCTGCTCACCACAGGGCATTATCCAGCTGCAGGGTGACTGACACACAGCGACAGCCTTGGAATCACCCTCCTGTGACATCCCCGCCTCTGCTCTCTAATGACGACGGGAGAAACTGCAGCAGCAAAGAGCCCTTGGGAGGCAAAGCTGCCAGGCTTACTCCCCAGGTTTAAAGTAAAGCTTCCCCTGAATGAAATCCAGCACAAATCCTCACTAAAAGGAGATATGGTTATCTCACTAAAAGGAGATATGGTGCTATAGGAGAGCCCAGGAAGGCTCCTCTCCAGGATTGCATCAGATTGCAGGGATTCAGACACGCCAGGTGAAGAAAATGGCAGTCAGGAAAATAGGTAAATGAATCTGTCTTTGTTCAGTGTCAGGAAATTAATGCCAGCTTCTTAAAGCATGGGAAATGACATTGGCTGCCAAATACAAACTGCTCTGGATTTCATGGGAATAATTATGACAATGAAATATTTTCTTAACTTGACCTTTGGCCACATACTAAATGGAAAGAACTAAATTTGGCACTGCAAATGCAAACTGAGCCAAATTAACTTATACCCATGGAGGATCTGGCCTTACAGACCCTGCTCCACAGGGCCAAATCCTGCTGTCACTTATGCTGGTGTAAAAATGACTCTATTTTGCTGAACTGGAATGGAGTTACTGGGGCTTGCAGTAGGTGAGTGTGAGCACAATTTAGCACTGAGAGAGGACCCTGCTTAAGGAAGTCAGTGGTGTCCCGAGTGAGCAAAGCCCCAGCCCTTGTAGGAGCTCTGTAAGGCAGAAAAGTAGGGGTGAGGGGCCCCCTGCGGGCTTGACAGAAATGCGCTCTGAGGTGGGAAGCCCTTACCAGAATTGCATCCCTGTTTGCAGACAACCTTCTGGAGATTAGTTCAGAGCCAGTGACCCCCTTCTAAGGGGTGAGCACACATGCACTAACAGCTAAAATGAAATCTCAGGTTTTGTTGCTCTGCTTTGTACTTCTGGCTGTTTCCAATGTGTTGATTACCAGTCCAGTCATGCTCATTTGCCTCCTGTGCCTGGAACCTCTTAAGTTCAAATAAAGAAATGGTTATTGGCATTATTACATATTTATTTGTATCAGCCCAGATTAAGACTCCACGGTTTTGGGTTCTAACAACAAACAAAATGACAATGTTAGCAAATGAGCTGATGATCTGTTTTGCATTCTCATTCTGGGCTCATTTCCACCAATTTAATTCAAGAATTACTTTATAAGAATAAAAAATATGATAGCACTCTATTGGTACAATAGGACAAACAACCTGGACTCAACCCATCTTATATTTTCATCAGAAAAAGGAGAACATATCAGGCAGGAGAAATATTTTAGGAAGAGAAATATGTCACAGCCCATTTGTTGTTTACATTTCTGCAGTAATTTCATGGCAGAAATATTAAGGGAGTGTTGTCACATAAGTTGCTTTCTTCATCATCTAGAATCAAGGCTATGTACTTAGGTTAAAACTCAGAATGAAAGCACTGGTTGTTTAGGTTTCTTTTGTAAATATGCATCTAACTGAAAAGTGGAAACCAGAGAAATTAATTCTGCAAAACATGGTACAGTCTTAAATTACAGGAGGTTAATACACATCCTCAGTGTTTTCAAGTGCAAAAGATGGGAGGTTTCTATTGAATGTGTCTCCCTTAAGGGAGGATAATTCCTCTTAAGGGAGGAATTAACTGATCTCTAACATGAGAAAACACCGAAGCCAAGGCAAAGGCCTGCTATTACTCTTTCACAGAAAAACATGTTTCTTTGAAATTTCATCAGTGAGAAAATCAGTGAGTAAGGTTTCAGATTTCATAGAGGAATTTTACTGGGTTTTTTTGGGCACAAATGATAAAAATGCTATAAATTCTATCTCAGACTCGGCAAGTGAAAGGTTTAAGAGATTATGTGAGTAAATCATTCATCCCTTCTGAATATCCTGCTGATAAAAGGGATCCCCTGATGTGATATATACTGTCAGGTTTGACTCTGAAGCAGAGAATTTCTTTCAAGTTCCCTTCAGGGAATCTGTACATTTTATGCTGAATATTAGAATCACCTCTTCAGGCATGGAGAGGAAGGTAGAATGAGACCCTAAAGCCATAGAGAAATTATCAGAAAGAGATAAACTGGTTTCCTTTTTTTATTAAATTCTCCTATAACCAGCTTTATAACCTAGCAAGTCACAAAAATTTCACAGTACATTACACATGCTCGCTGGCAGGCATTTCAAGATCAGGGAGGCGTCTCTACGCGTTCTGCCCTGGACTGAGCACAAAGGCAGAGGGCAGGGCTCCCGCATCTCCCTGCCCAGAGACGCCATCCAGCTCTATCAGCTTTATATTTTGATCACTGTTTCACTGCTACCGAGTCTTGTTAGCAGCATTTCATGCCTTCCGAAGCCCTGATACATTCTTGCGCAGGCTGAGAGGCAGAAAAGAAGGTGGTGCCGGCTATGCCGGGTAAAGCTGTGGCTTCTCCCCATCTGTAAAGGGAGGGTGTAAAGGGAGGCGAGCGCTCAGCAGAGGCGGATGGGCGGTGCTGCCGCGTGTGAACAGCCGCGCCGTGCCGTGCCGTGCCACCGGCACCGGGCTGGGCGCTCCGGTGCTGAACAAATACCTGCCTGGAGGTCAGGCTGCGCTACTTAAGGGCAGCCTCCACTCCAACCGGCAGTCCCTGTAAGGTGCTAGAGGGGAGCAGGAGGCTGCGGCGGTGCGCGGCATTGCCTGCATCCCTGGGCTTAAGGCACCGGTACTCAAAATCGCTGATGCTGAGAGGCGGCACAAGCCCTTCTCTGGTGGTCCGAGCGTATCCTTTTTTCTCCTAAATGCGGGGAAAGGGCAGTAGGGATTTCCTGGAGAGCCGAGGGCAGGCCAGCGCCGGGCCCGAGAGAGCAGAGCTACGTTGCCTTTCACCGCTCGGCTGGGACATTCCTTCTCTCCAGCCATGCGACACAGGGAGCTCTGCCGTGGGCTGTGAAGCGCGGGGTCCCGCTCCGCTTTGTGTTCGGAGCGGCCCTGCGCCGGCAGCACGGTCCGTTCTTGTTCCCGCTGCCGGCCCGTTCGGGCTTCTGGCCCATTCCCGTTCCCGCTGCCGGCCCGTTCGGGCTCCCGGTTCGGTTCATTCCCGTTCCCGTTCCCGTTCCCGCGGTTCCCGGCGCAGCAGCGCCCTCTGCAGCACGGCCCGGCCCGGCCGCAAGGGTCACCCGGGCCGCGGCCCCCGCTGAACCGGGACCCGGTTCCTGCTGCTGCTTCCCGGGGGAATTCTGTCTCCGCACCTGCGGCAGCGGCGCGGGGGTGTCGGGGTGCTGGCTGCGCCTTTGCTGCCGGGCCGGCCATCAGAGCGTGTGGCGCTCGACGCCATGTGCCTTGAGCTGCTCAGCAGGGGAAGTGCAAAGGATTTATGTGCACTCCCAATGCTCCGTCCCTCAGCGCTGATGGTGCTTCTCCATCTCCTCCTGCTCCGCATGGGAGCCGCAGTGATAAATAGTATTGACAGAGCAAGAAAATCCGACACGCCGCGTCGAGCTCTCGCGTTCCTGTTTGCCGGCCGTGTGAGCGGCCGTGAATCAGCAGAGGGGCACACAAAGAGCTCTGTGAGGCACCAGAGAAGCGCAGCTCAGAAAAATCTGAGCTGTGCTAATTTTAATTTGGAAAACGGCTGTTAGTAAACAGTTCAACCCAACAGGATCTGAGTGTTAGCCAACTCCCTCTGCACTCTCCCACGGGAAAGAGAGCTATAAAATAAATCCAACTCATAAAACGCTGTTTGTCAACCTGTTCCCTGCTTGTGACACAGGCTGGAAAGGGTCCTAGGGGCAGAGCTGGGGGAAAGGAGAAGGTAAGCAGCAAAAAAGCTGAAATTTAGGGAAGTGGATGAGTGTGCACAGCAGAGGACAAAAAAAGCCATGAGAGGCTCAGACCATTCAGTGCCAGCGCATACATTCGCCCCGGGAAGTTTAGAAGTTTGTGATGCTGAGTGATGATTCCCACGTTCCAGAGAAAACGTGGCGATTCTGTTTTCGATCGCCCTTTCCGAGCCATTCCTGGTAGGGTGGCTGTGGGGACACGGGTCTCTCCCGGGGCTGGGGCTGCGCTGCAGGGCTAATCCTACGCGAGCTGGTTGGGAGTGCTCAGCCCTGTGCCTAGAGCCGCGGTGGCTCTGTGCGTGCTGGCCAGGTCCAGGTGAAGGATCAGAAAACCCTGCCAACTTCTGCTTCTCCTTGAGCAACAGTGATGGTTTCTTAATGTGCAGCAGCTGTGCCATACGAAACATGGGTTAGCTGATTTCTGAGCAGCATTTTAAATGGGTAGAAACAAGGGGTTTTGTCATTGACTAAGACTGGGGTTGTAGCATTCCAGTACTTTCCAGAAGCTATGCTTGGATTGCTTGAAAAACTAGTCTGTGAAAATGGGTATTTTTAAAGGTGCCAATTTAAGACTCATTGAAATGGAGTTTTAAATTGGTTTTCCTGGCCTGCAGTTTGGACTATAAACTACAGTGAATTTAGGGGAAGATCTTAAAAAATAGAAATATTCTGGACTGTTTGGTTTGGCAAGTCCTGCTCTAAGGCTTTATTAGTTTAAATTCAGGCAAGATCTAGGAAAATTATGCTAATCAAAAGGTTCTTAGGAAAACTAGTCCAAATGTCTCAATTTCTCTACTTAATGGGAAAGCATCAGCCAAAAAAAAAAGTAATGCTTTGCTGAAAATAGAGCCTAAAAGTTCGTCAGTAGTTAAAACCTCTTTTACTTCATTTAGAAACTGTTCCTTCATGTAGAAAAGGTTGCCCAAATGAGGTACAAAACACTTCCTTCAAAAACATGAAGAAGATGTGCATTGTCCTGGCCATACCCACTCCTTAAGAAGACAGCAGGTTTTAGCAGAATCCCAAAATATACAGGTATTTAATTTACTGAAAGGTTAAAGAGAAATAAAGGAAGAGAAGCCTGAGGAAGTGGTGAATCTTTCAGTAAGTACTTGTCTTTCAGTGCACACAGCCACATTATCACATCAGTGTTCCAAATCTGAATTTTTCAGGGTTAGACTCTTCTGCCTTTGCTGGAAGCTAAAACCAGCATGGATTTGTGGAAGTTTTGAACTCAGGCTTCTCAAATATGAAGTAACTTGTATCTCAGGCCCTTTGTTCCTCTCCTGCTTCTGCCAGTGCAGGTGGGCTGCTGTCACAACATTGGTCTGAGGTCTTTGCTTGTGCAATGTGTGCTGTGATTACTGCAAAGGTAATTGGGAAAAAAAAGATGTGTCACCTGCAACATGGGTGTCAAGCCCTTGCAAGTTTTGAGGACAAGAACATTTCACAAGCTGTCCTGTAAGGACAAAGTACAAAGGAGGTTATAAGTGCAAATAAAATCCTGGAGACTGGCCTTGATATGGGGGTGATGTACATGGGAAATATCTTGTGCTGCTCAACTTTCAGACACTAAAGTTTGCTGCAACAGAGGGCTTCTTTCCCCTTGCTCCCAATAAAAATTAAAAAAAAAAAACAAAAAAAACAAACAAAAAAAAAACCCCAAAAAAACCCCCCAAAACCCAAACCAACAGAGGCTCTTACTTAGGAATCTGAGCTTATCTGCAGCTGTTTGCCCACTGCAGGCCCTGGGAGTATGCTGAGATGCTTCTGGGTAGTGTTTTTGATATTTTTTTTGGAACAGAAGAAATCTGCAGGCTTAGGACATTAATTTAGGCGGATTTTACTATATGTATATGGAGCTTAGCACTGTTACTTGCTATCTTCCTTTCTCCCTAAATAAAAATGTATGTGCTTTCCTTTAAAAATGTATTCTGTGTGTAAGTCACATAGTAATAACATTAAATGTGGTATAAAGATGGTAATAAAACTGGTTGTAACATTTATATATTTTTCATAACCAAAGTGCTCTGCAGTGGGAGATGCTATAAACGCATGCTTGCCACTGGAGGAGACAACAGTCCTACTTTGCAAAAGATGTCAGCCACATGAGCACAGGCCCTGGTTTCTCTGGGCACAGAGCACATGGGCAGGCAGCTCTCCAGGACAAAACGAGGGTGAGGGCATCTGCCCCAGCATGTCACTGCCATGGGAAGGCTGGGCGCTATTGCTGAGGAAGTGGCCATGTGGACAGGGTAGAAAATGCTGCTGGAATGGAGAGGAGACTCCATGCAGAAGCATCTCTTGATGCAGCAGAGTACAAAATGCCTGTCCCAGGCCTCCTCCTCCTGTTGTACCTCAGTTCTGCCACTTCTCCTTCTTCTTTCAGCAGTAGTGGTTTCTCCACGTCGAGGTCCTTGTGTTCAGCATCACCCAGCCTGCTCAGAAGCCTTGGGTTGTCTGTGGGCACAGCATACTCCTTGAGGAAAAGTACATAAAAACAGCAGGAAAAGGGAAGAACAGGAAAAATGCTGCTCTTGGCACTTCTGTTGTGATATAACAGGATGAAGCAAATTCCAGGCATGCCGACTGCCCTCTAGCTGCATCTTCTAAAACAGCCAGAGCTTGCAGAACTCCGCAGCGTTTTTTGGGAACATTTTTCCCACTGGGAGCATGGCTCATCTCCCTCCCCATCCTGTGGCCTTGGCTGCAGTGAGCAGTGTGTGCCAGAGCCGGGGGGCTCTGCTGCCTCTGCCTATTCCCAGTGCAGCCATGTGGGCACGGGAGGCCAGGAAGCGATGAAGCGCTTGGGGCTGCAAATCCTGGCAGCAGTGCCCTCGTGAAAGCCACGCTCTGCCGGTATGGAAAACCAAAAGCATATCAGTACCTTGAACTGCTCTCCATTAGAGGGCGTTCAACATTTGCAGGGGCACGAATCTGCGAAGTGAGTTTTTTTTTAAATGTCCACCGACTTTTAATGGAAAATGCACAATGAATATTAAATAAAGGGCATTGCCTATTGCTGCACTTCAGACACTGTTATGTGATGTGACTTTTTAAAAACATTTTTTAAAGGTCATGCTGTTTATGCTGCATAATATAGAATACAATTGTACTGTAAATTAGATACATGCTTTACAGCCTGCTGCTGTGCTTCATGGAGGTGAACAAAATTTGAAATCACAGGTCTCCTCCCCATGGGGAAGCAGTTGTGGGAAATATTTAATATCACAATAATCAGGGGCTTAATGGCCTAGTGATGAGCTATGGAGGCCTCTCTAGAACACCTTGCTGCATCTCCTGTCTGCTCTCTAGTCTCTCTAGAACATTTTTCCATTCTTAACACAGCTAAATTTCATTATAATTTACTGTTATAGGACGGTTAGCGTAAACTGTAGCATTACCTAACCCACAGCATTTCCTTTAGTCACATGTGATATGCTCAGCCCTGACAGGTTTCTCCCCCAGCAGACAAGAGTTTACTTTCTCTGTGTTGAAATAGTTGTAGGCCTGTGTAGTTCCTATATACCTTAACTCTCTGGAAGGATTAATTACTCAATTCCTTTATAATAGCTTCAAAACTTCAAAAATGCTGTTCTCTTTCTTTGTAGATAAACTACAGTATAGAAACTGGATTTTGAGGGACATGCAGACTGATTCAAAATTCCCTCAGGACAGCTCTCAGGGAGTCAGTATCAAAGGTAAGCAAATGACTTAAAGCCATGGATTTTTGATCCTTATTTTAAAAACTTCAATTCACACATTGCTTCAAATACACAAAAAGAAGAGCAGCCATGAAGCAGAGAACCAGACTGCATAAAAGCACTGGAAGGCATTTTGGTTGCACTTTACTGTAGAACACGTATGTTTGAAAAGGGATGGGAAGACTGTTGAGCAAATACACTGACTGATGCCAGGGTGAAGGAAATGCCAAGTAAATGCATTAAGCAAATAAACAGGGTTTTGGAGAAGTGTTGAGAGGTGCAGGAAGAGTGTAACACAAAGTGGAAACAGAAGCAGATTTCTTCCACCCAAGGGTACAGGTTGTAAGCCTTGCATGAAATAGAAGTTACAGTGGGTTTTTCTTAAAGAATGTAATTTCACATTCATGGGTCTCTTACCAGAGACTGTTTTAAGAATAGTATTTGGATTGGAAGGGCAGCACATGGAGGACTGAATTATTAAGTAAGCCCTTGCTACTGAACAGGTTTTCAGGGCAACAGCTGCCACCCAGATGGTGTGTGCACCAGGACTCTGAGAGGCAGCACTAACCAGTGTCTCTGAAGCCAGCTGTCATAACAAATTTTATTTCAAAGGTAGATCTAAACTAAGGTATCATCCTAATAGAGCCTTCTTGGAATTTATTCCTGGTCACTGTATTAGTTATAGAATTTGCCAGAACACTCAGGCATTATTAATGAGTTAGCAAAACAAAATGTTTATGTTTGTAGAACTGATTTTTTTAATATGAAGCCATTTCTTGTGTTTAAATATACTATTGATGTGATCTGCAACATATTATAAATAGAAAAAGCGGAAGAAAGAAACATTACACACATAGACACATATTGGAGAATTAAAACAATAGTTTCTTCAAATTCTATCCTAGAAGAGACAGATAACAACTTTTTTTTCAAATGTCAACCAATGAAAATAAACTTGATCAAATTTTCAGAAGGATAAAATATTATCTTATGGGTGAAAACTCTCTCGTATTTCTATAATGACGTTCTTGGTCAACACATTGTAATTTTTATTTAACATGACTGGTTACTGAGAATGCTCCTAGTTATCTGGTACAGCTTAATTTCATGAAAATATTCTATTTCTACTGAAAATTGTTAAAAACCAGCAAAACATCCTTAAGAGATTTTTGTGAGGGTTAGGATTACCTCACAAGCACAAGAAAAGAACAAATTTCTCATTTCTGCTGTTTGATAACAACAATTACTCAGCCCACCCAGTGATCTTATACATCAGTGCCCTCAAAAGCCTGGCTTCATAGGTGACTGTGTTTTTCCCACTTTGCACTCCACTCTCTTCAAGGGGGTGCTCGATAACAACTGGGATGTTTCTTCCATACTGTTCACATTGCTTTAGAAACTGCAGGCACTCCTGAATCATGCTGTCACGCAGCATGATCATGTGCTTGGACATGTTCTCCAGCAAGGACAGGAAACACCGCTTAGCGTAATACCACGTGTCCGTGCTCAGCTTTTTGTTATATGGCTCCAGGCTTTTAATGATCCTTGAAATACCGAACTCATAGTTTCCCTTCACACAGTACAGGGTACCAATGACTAGATTGACAATGCAAAGATGGTAGATGTTTTTATCAGGATGATCGTAAGACAGCTGCTCTTCTGCCTTCTCAATCTTCCTCATTAGTTCCTCTGCATCCTCGTTCTGGCTTGTCAGAATGTAGGACACGCAGAGGTTTGCTAACACAATGGCACTGACATCGAGAATGTTATCGTAGTGCTTTTTAACTATTGGTTCATAGAAGCTAATAGCCTCTTTATACTTGTTCTCCTGCATGAAGAGCACGTGAGCCACATTGAGCTTCCACACCTCGTGTTCCTTGCAGAACTCCACTGATTTGTGGAAGATCTTTTCTACCATTGTGTAGTTCTTCATGTCCCAGTAAATCTTTGCCTGGGCCATCAAGACAGGTATATATTTTTCCAGAGTCTCATCATATTCATTAACTGCCTTTTTTAGAGCTTCATCATCCCAGTTTTGCCTAGCTTCCTGTACCTGTTTTGTGAGTTTTCTCAGCTGCTCGGTCATTGTCCCTACTGAATCATCTAGCTTGTGGAAAGCCTCCTCAGGGGCCGTTTGACAAGTAATAATGGCATCCAAGAAGTTGTACAGATAAGGTGTGAGCAGTTTGTAGGTCAGATGGGCATTCTCTGCCAGCACATCAGCTGCCAGGTCATAGTATTGATGCTTGCAATAGAGAAGTAGCAAGTTACCAAAAGTTTCTGGTGGACAGGGGTTCTGCAGGAGAAGAAACTGCAGCTTCCCAAACCCATCGGTGGGTTGGCTGTCCATGTTCATGAGCGCTTGGTTGTGCAGCGTGACCGGATCCAGCTCCTCCTCGGCCCTCGGCGGCATATCCGTGAGCGCTTCCTGCGCCGCTCGCACGTTGCGCAGCTGGTACTCGATGGCCGCCTTGAGGTTAAAGGCCTCCACCAGGGCCGTGCGGTGCAGGAGCAGCGTGTTGCCCACGCTGCGGACGTCGATGCCCTCGGTGGTCATGCCCACGTTGAGCTCCGGGTGCTGGTGGATGCCGTGCTTGATGATGTCGGATATGTGCTTGAGGGCAGCGTGGTACTGCTTGGCCGCGTAGGAGCACAGCGCCATGTTGTAGGACAGCTCCGGGCAGTACCCCAACACTTGCATGGCGCTGGCGAACTTGCCGCTGGCCTCTTCGTGCCGGCCCTGCCGGTACAGCAGGCAGCCCAGGTTGACCTCGGCATCGGCCCGCTCCGACGGCTCCTCGGCCGCTCCGGAGCCGCCATCAGCAGCGGCGGCGAGCTCCTCCTCCACCAGGCTCTGGGCCGCCGGGAGGTCGCCCTGCGCGTAGTGGACAGCGGCCTGGAGGCGCAGGGCGCGGCGGTGGAAGGCGGGCACGTCCAGCAGCGGGCTGGCGGCGCGCAGGGCCTCGGCGAACAGCCCGGCCTTGTAGAGGGCCTGCGCGTGGCACAGGCGGTACGGCAGCAGCTGCGGGTGCAGCGCCGCCAGCTGCTCGTAGCACTCGGCCGCCGCCGCGAACTCCTGCAGCTGGTAGTGGCAGTAGCCCAGCAGCGAGAGGCAGCCCCGGGAGCGGCAGCTCTTCTGCAGCCCGCGGTTCAGCAGCGACACCGCCTCCGCGAAGCGCCCGCTGCCGATGAGCCCGTACACCACGGCCGTATGCTGCCCCTCGGGCACCGGCGCGGCCTCCATGGCCGGCCCCGCGCTGCCTCGGCGGCGGCGGCGGAAGCGGCGCCATCGCTGCCACGGCAACGGCGGCGCGGGGCGGAAGTGCTGCCGCGCGGGCGGGCGGTGCCGCGGGGCGGGATGGCGGCGGCGGGGGCGGGCGGTGGCGGCGGCCGCCGTGCCCCCGCCTGACCGGCCTCCTGCCGCCGGCAGTGGGAGCTGGTGCCGGCCGCGGCACCCCGTCCTCTGCGTGTGCCTGCCCTCCTCCGCTCCTCTCCCGGCGCCCACGGCCCGAGCATCGACACGGCGTGTTCGGTGCCGGCGTGTTCGGTGCCTCGTGCAGCCGGGAGGAATAAAGAGTAAAAACCAGCTCCTGTATTTCTAAATGCTGTGTCGTAGTTTCCTTAAGCAGTACGTGGTGTATAAGCACGCTCTAAGCTAAACACATAGCCCAGGGCAGGAAACATTGAACCTCTGTCTTGGGCTTTGTCCACATGAAACATCCCCTTTACAGCCTGTTAAGATCCAAGGTTGATTAATGTTGGTGGATGGCAGGAGATACACCTGTACTTTGCCACAATCTAACAGCTTTCCTGCAGCTTTCAAAATCAGAAAAAAATTACTTCCAACTTTCCTTATTCAACAATGTCATTGTGCTTTCGCAGGACTTCTTTCCCTCCATGGTATTTCTACTGGCCAGTGATACTCTAGACCACAGACTGTATAATCTGTGTAATTTCTGTGCATGTGAATAGCTCCCTTAGGGCCACCGGACAGATCTGGTTTCTGGTCGTTCCAGACTAATGCCAGGCATATCCCGTGAAGGAGTTTGGTTTCCCCCCAGGAATGAGTGCTGCAAAGCTGTGTGTCAAAAATCATATCTGGGCTGCTCAATCTTGCATGTTTTCAGGATCTTCTATTTGTGATTCAGTAATCAATAGATACAGCTCTGGTTGATCCCAACAAGTTTCAAAGAAAAGTAATAATAATAAAAAAAGAAAATCATAGTAAGCTGTTAAAATTATTTATCTTTTTAAAGACCAGTAAAACAAAGTTGTTAATTTCAAAAGCATGTTTTGAAAGCTGAACCAACATAGTTTGATCTACTAAGCAAAACAATAAGAGTAATGGTTTTAAGATGAGAAAAAAAAAAAAAAGGATACAGAAATCTTTTAAGTTACACATTTTGCAAGTGTCTGGGAATCACTTGCCTTAGAACAGACACATGGTATTTCTGTGCATTTATCAGCTGTCTCCCACAGGTGTATTGCCCAGAAAACTGTAAGATGTAATGACCTACATGCTTAAGAATTCATAATTAAATACAAAGTAATCCAAGAAAGAAAAGGTAGCAAGCAATATACAGGATGTATTCCAACAGTGGCACATTCCAGGGACAGGAATCTCTGGGGCATCTCACAAGTCCCAATTCATTGCTATGTTAGAAACCATTCACATGATTTTACTCTTTGAAAACTCTTCCTTTGAAAAAGCTATAAAAAAACCTTCTTGTTCTATTATTTTCTTGCCCATACACTCTAGGCATTGAAGTGCCTGTTAGTATGTTTTATGTATCTTTGAAATAAACCTGTTTTAAAGTTTCACACAATGCACAAATTACTTATCGGGAACTAAAATTGGTTTGAGTTTATAAAGGGAAAATAACTATTTGGCCTGTAGACTGAAACACTCCTGTTTTTCCACTAGAATGAATTAATCTAAATATTACAAATGACATTAGGCACTGCTGGTTGCAGTTTTCAAAAATAATTTGTGAGTACTAGTATTGGCTTTGTTGGTAACTACAGGCACATTATGAGATTGCAGTGTTCTCCAAGAAGGAGCAATTAGCAAGGTCACCAGACCAGAAAAATGCAGCTGCTGTATCAAGGACACTATCTGAAGAAATACCTGAGCTAGAATGAAACATACTTGTCTGCGCTGTGGTTACAAAACACACAATTGACCTTCTTGGCAAGACCCCTGGCCCTGTAAATGCTAGGGGTTGGCTGAGTGGGAGCTGTGTGGGCAGTTCTGTGCCTGCCTGCCACAGGAGGCATCCATCCACTTTAAACCTCAGCGAGTTACTGCTGCCTGACCTTGTGCAGCCCTCCTTCAGAGCAGGAGCAAAACCACGTCCTGACAAGCAGAGTCTGCATCTCCATCACATTATGCAGCTGTTCTTTGTAGGTCCCAGGCTGGGAGGGAATTGTCTGATTTCACTACTCAACTTACGGTGAAAGACACCTTTTGGACATCTTGTTCTTGGGAGGTTCTGCTGTCTCAACCACCGGAGAGCCTCTGCCCCAGGTGCTCCTTGCCTTGAACAGTGTTCAGTTTTCTGGTGGGGTCATGCTGTCATGTTGCAGGGGAGCACTGTAGTCCAAGGGAGTGCACATACAAGACCTAAAGCATGTCTGCCCCATGCCCCTCTCAGGAGTGAAGCCAAAATTGGGGCTGTACCAGTGGGCATCCTTGTCTCCTTGCTGAGCACATGAAAGGGGCTTTGGCAGAAGGGCAGGAGACAAGCCCACCCTTGTTAGTTGCCACCATCTGGTGGCGCAGATGCACCTGCAGTTCAGAAACCTGCTCGAAATCAAGCAGGATTTGAATGTCAAGGTCCTTCCTCGTTAGCCTTTGCAATTGTAGAACATTTATGGTGGGTTTTAAAAATGATTGTTTTATTTGGGTTTCATTTTTTCTGAGGAAAGGGTGATTTTGGTAAGTGGTTTCACAGGTGGGAATCCCAAATGAAATTACTGTTTGGCTGGAACTACCTTTGAGGATGGGGATGAAGACCTGAGCATTTTCTGGTGACAAAATTAAGGCTGCTGCCTGGCTTTTGTGAGACCTCAAGGCCTGCAGTTCATGGGCCGAGAGAAACCTGACCAAATTCAGTCTGCAGTTGGCACGAGTCAGTAGGACACCTAGAAAAAAGGCATTGCCACAACCAACCTGAAGCACCTCTGGGTGTCCTATGGACAATCCATGTGCCCATAAAATTTTAGCACTGGAACTGTAAATGCTAGAGGCCTCTGTCAAGGCCAGATTTCCACTTACAGCTGGAGCAAAAAAATGGCAACTTGTCTTTTGCTGATGTGCTAGGCATCTCAGGGGAAAGGCCAAGCAGCACTGTCCTGGGTAACAGTTGTGTTCTCCACATGCTTTCTTGACTTGTCCTTGCCTCTTGTGCTTGTGGATCTGTGTTTTATATGCATTCGCAGAATTAGGCTGATTTCAATGTTGTTTTTTTTTTTTTTTAATCTCTCTTTGTTCAGCAGGTAGGGAAGCAAGTAAAAGACAGAGAATGAGATTAAATAACCTACACAATCATGTCTCTTGTGCATATCTCAAAGAGCTTGGCAGAACTGATTGAAATACTGGGAAATTTTTTCCCTATCAGAAATAATGAAAAGCAGATACAATTTCTGATCATCAAGTTTATAATTGCTAGCTAAAAATGTTTCCAACAATCTTAAAATATAATAGACTTGAAATATGTTTCTTTAATGTACTACATGTTTCTGCAAAGAGTCATGTTTTTCTCACTTTTTTTTTTTTTGCTCTTTCCTAAGCTAAGTCTTAAAAAAAGAAGATAAGGTTTTTGTTGGCTTAAGTGGTTGATTTTTTAAAGATTGAGCTATATGACTTTCAGAGATTGAATGCTGTTCTGAGATGCACTGTTGAGCCCCCCAGTTTCAGTAGGGTTGTTTCGTTTTTCCTGAGAACAATTTGATAAGATCAAGCCATGTGCTCTCATTTTCTCCCTTGTGATGAAGGAACAGAACCATAACATTAGTCAGCAGTTTCTGAATTTTGACCCACAATTGCAAAGATACCAAAAGACAGGAGAAATAGATGGAGGCAATTACAAACAGTCACTTGATTGATGGTTGACATTGTTAGGGCTTCAGCCGTGTGTCAGGCTGCGGTGCTGCCGAGTCCCCATCCCTGCCAGTGGATGTTGCCATGGGCAACAGTGCACTGAAGCCAGTAAAAAGGAGAGGAAATGAGGGGAGACTCAACCTTTGGGGAGGCCGTAGGGTATGCATTATAAATTATGTTACACTTAGCAGTATGCAATATCAAAATTCAGGAAAGCTGTGTGTACCTGCCAGCAGTACTATCGGTTCCTAGTAGCTGTGTTTCCGATAAAGTATGTGTTGTAGGTTTGTATGGCTTGCTGCTTACCAGTCTTCTCCGGTTTTATTCAGAGAAGAAAGAAGTGGTAGAAGAACAGCAGAAACATTTCCATTTGGTGTGTGTACTCACTGTGGCGCACTTTGCATTTCTGCTCCTTCCCTGCTTCCATCTGCTAGAGAGTGATGTGGTTCAGTCGTGCACTAACAGACTGGCTCACAATGCTACTGAATTTCCAGCTATTGTCCTACACACCATTAGAAGCACAGAACATTTTTGTTTTGTTGTGTTTCTTTCAAAGAAGGGATCAGCATATTTGTTGTTTCTGTTTGATGTAGTCAGCTTTTCTAAGGCTCTAACTGTGGAGTTGTGGTATTTTATGTTCTATTACATTTGTATTATGTATTTGGTTCGTTCTATGTACCCCCCTATTACAGTTGGTGTATTCCCGAGTTTCCCGCCTTTCCTCCCTTGTCCTCCGAAAGGAGAAAAGCTCTTTTAGTATCTGGTCAGCTGGGCCAGGTTCTGATTTCTATTAATCTGGTGCCAGTTCAAGGTAATTCCACCGAAGTAAAAGGAGTTTGGCACAGGTGTAAAACTAAGCTGCATTCAGCTTTAATTTTTGCTGCCAGAAACCCCTAGATTTAGAATCCCATATTTCATGGAGTACAAAGGCTTTTTTCTTTTTTTTTTCCCCCCTATGAATGGGTGCTCAAAAACACTGCAGCATGACTCCTCTTGTGTCTGGTCATGCAGCAGAGAAAACACCCTCAAGTCACAGATCACAGGTTTGCTGCATTAATGATCTTGACACTAATAGAAGGAGACCAACTTTCAGGTAATACTAGGGTCATCACAGAGAGACATTTGGTTTTGTGACCTATCATATTTGATTAGATTTTTAGGCACACCTTTACCACAGGTGAGCCTTGACTAGTGCTGTGCTACCTGTAGTAATAGCATTTGAAATTGTACTGAAAGAACTGCGAGAGAGTAAGGGGTAGTCCAGTGTGATGATATTCTACATCTCCACCATTTCAAAATACTAATTTCAACTGGAAATTATACTAGAAAGGCTTATCCATGTTCTGCTTTTCAATGTAATATAAACCTGAAGCACAAAGCAACAGATTTCCTTTTTTATTTGTATTCTATTAAAAAAAAAAAAACAATAATCTTTTCCTTAGGTGACTCCATAATTAAAAAAAAAAAAAAAAAGAAGAATGTGTTATAAGAGCATTTTTTAAAAGAAAAAAAAAAAAAAAACCTCTAAAATTGCCATGCAATATTTTGCCTTTATGCAAACTTCCTCTTGCTGAGAAATTTGCTGCAATGTTAATATGAATTTCTCAGGGAAGAAGGGACAGCTTGGTGTTTTTAAAGATAATAAAGTTTGTTTTTAAATGTAGCAAAGGTAGGCAATTCTAAAGGCCCTGATCAATCACTAAGAAGCTTTGTTGTAAAAAAATACTTCTTCAGAATACAAAGCAGGCTTTTCAGAACATTCAGGCATAAAAGAGGAGGGAGAGTAAGAGAGGAGCATCACAAAAGCAGGCATAATTGATTCATAACATGTACTGAAGAGATGCAAAACAACAATGTAATTACACACTATTCTGTTTTCTGCAGCTCCTTGCATATGAATTGGCCAGCTTGCTTCCCAGTCCTGCTCTGTATTATTAATTTTATTAAGCTGCAAGTTCTTATATTTCAGTCTGTTGTCAGCTTTACAGGTTTATACAGCAGCAGTTGAAATGTAGTGGAGCTGAATGAATGCTTCTTCTGTTCAGTGTTCCGTGTCTCTCCAGATACCAGCGCAATCCCACTGCAAGCTTCCGTTCAGTCCCACTAAGCCTTCCAGGAAAAGCAAACTGTGCTGCCGTCAAGATAATATCCCATCAATTAAGCATGTCTGGGAAAGCATTTCTTAAAAAATGGTGGGTCTAAGCTTATGAAAACCTTTCAGACAGCTCTTACTGTAAAGTGAAACTGATATTTGCATGTTTAATTTATGTCTTTGAGAGACATGGTGAAGCTAGAGGAGAAGGAGGACAAGGATGCCGCCTGAGAAGGAAGTCTTTTTTGGTGCAGCTCCTCCCATTTACCTCTATTTACTGCCACGGAGTCCAGCATAGGCTTCAGTTTCACATTCAGCTTCACTAGACACTGGAAGAAGATTAAAAAGAGGATGAGAGAAAAAATACTGACAATATATCCATTCATTTTAAGGACAGTCCATGGCACAATGGGGAAAAAAGAGTTTAATCTGCACTATGCCCTTACCCTCCTCACTCCCATCTGTAAATACCTGTGGAAGTAAATTTATGGTCCCCATTGAGTTCTCTTTATCTATCTGACTCATTTTACATAAGGCTTTAAGCCACCAAAAATGTAAAAAAAGGTAAACAAGATGGCAGAGATGCTGCTCAGCTGCTTTAGCTTTCTTGCAATCCTTAAAAATATGGCATCTATGAGCAGGAAGGTCCACTGGCTGGATGACAAGCAGGACAAAGCTGAAATAATCTCCCTAGTGCTAGATTCTTTTTTCCTATAGATGACCAAACCACAAGAGTACTGTGCTTTCCCAAGCTGGCAAAAAAACAATAAGTGTGTGTTCAAATTAAAGAAATATGAGTTTTCTTTGAGGTTGCATTGAAATCACCTCTTCTCTACATACCCAGTCCAAAGGTCACAGAGGCCAGTAAGAATCTTTAATCTGGTTTCATCTGGCTTTGAATACACCCCTAAATTATGGAATTCCTGCATACCTTTGCTACAGGTTTATTTTACCTTCCCCTTTAATATCACCTGCTTATGTGCAAAGACCATAAGGGCTTCACTTGGGTTTGTATCTATATTAAAGAGAGACAGAAATTAACATCAGCACTGGATGTCAGGAAAGGGTTAACCCCTTGCCTCCCAAGTGGTCATGTAATGTGGCCTCTCAGGACAGAGGAGTGTTCTTTTGCAGCTTTCCTGGTTAGCAGGCAGGCTGTTGCTGAGAGCTGGGCAGCATGCTTTCTCCTATAGCATGGAAACTATGTATTTGTCATTGGAAAGAAAGGCTTGGTGCCAGATTAAAAACTGAAAACGACAAAGACAGCAAAAGTTGCTCTTCTAAAAGTGCAGAAAATTATAAGAAAACAAAAGGAAGGAGATCCAGGTACCTTTGCAGTTGATCAATTTTTGCTTTAAATGGTCCCCAGAGCCCAGACAACACTAAAGAACTGTATTTTTTTATAGCTAGCTTACAAGCCATGGGAGCTTGGCTTGAAGTAAGTCTTGGAAGATTTTTAATTGAGCTATTATATGATAATTAAGGGTTAATGGCCTGATTTTAAGATGTGCTGAAAACTTGCAATTTCAGTTGACTTCAGTAGGAAATATGAATGCTCAGCACTTATGAAAAATAACATCATGAGGAAGAATCTGGAACTTGAATCAAATCTACTTCAAAATTATTTCCTTAGAATATGGCACAGTCTGGGCAGATAACTTTGCAGTCTTGGGCCTGGGGTAAGAGGCAGGGTTCACTGCAGTCACTGAGAGCATTGGTTGCTGCTGATGGTCATTCATTTTATAGAATGAATAAATATTTTTAACATTCCCATCACCCTGCCTCACAACTCTGCATTTGTATATCTTTATTTCAGACTGTTGTGGATTCCTTAAACTTGTGTGTGTATGTATGTATACACATATATACAATATTTTCTCTCTCTCTCTCCATATATAGTATATATACTATATACACTATACATTTATATATATGTGCCCAGGGACCTATAGCAGCTACAGGCAGCACAGAGAAGATGGAGCTCACTGGGACTGCAGACTCTGTCTCAGTGTGGCTATGCAGCTCTCGGCTATGTCTGTGTCCTTTCTGTAACCTTGTTTTTTTGCCAAGACTGACCACAAGACTGTGATGTTTTCCAGCCTAGTGCCAGGGAGCAATTGCAGAGGTCTGGGCATGACCTCCTGCTATGCCTGTCCCTCCAGGCCTTGGCATCTGCCATGGCTGATGGCAGGAGACAGCCCTGTCACATACTGTGCCAGGATGACTGCAAGTGCTCGAGGTGCTTACAGCAATTAGCTTTGCATTGACTCCAGCAGGGACCAGGAGCCCAAGGAGGCAGGGAATAGATTCAGGAAGCACCCCCACAGTTCTGTGGTAATCACTGTTATCCTATGAGCTGTAAACATATCTTAAATCTGTAAGTAAATACACATATATTTCTTTGAAATATAGATCTAAGCAGACGTTAGAGTCTAATAACCCAGATGCAACAGAGGTTACCAGGTAAATAACAAGAATGGCTAACTACTAACATAAACTTTGATGAAATAGATTATAAGGAGTATTTAAGAAAGAATAAACCATGTCTTTGATATTAATTTTTACCATAGCACCAGCAATTAATTCAATGGAATACATACAAAATATATAGTGTAATTTAAAGAAACTTTATTTTGTTACACATTAATTTAGATTAGTGATACTTGACAGTGCAGATTTTGCACTTGGTCTATAAAATGTCTTTATTCAGACATTGAATTGATGTTTGAACCACTGCTTCTGTATTTAGCATCCTTTCACTTTGGGACTTTTTCATTCTGATCTAGTCTTTTAATTAAACTGACTACTATAATTCCTATGGAAATAAGCTTTTATTTTATTTTTTTTCCAGCTACCAAAGCATTTCAGTAGGGCTTCTCTGATACAAAGTGCACAAATTGGATTTTATTTCTTCTTGAGATGTAATTAAAAACTCATTTGATTACTATATATCTGGCCCTGTTTTAATTATTAAACTCCAGTAATCAATTTGCTTTTATGAAGCTTCTGGGAAATTATCTCAAAAGCAACACATTTCTCTCCCTTCTGGCACGGTCTGGACCATTTACTGAATTACATTCATTGCACCTGTTCCTGATCCGGATTAAACCACCAATTTATTCCCAGAGGTCTTTAAGTTTATTTGGCTGTAGCTTTGTCAGGGTTTTCCACCTCCTGGCTGCAGTTTTTACTTTCCATTTTACTGCATGCGAACCCTTTGATGTACTGCTCCTCCATGCTACTGTTTTTGATGCATGTGTCTTACAAACAGCTTTGCTCAAGATCTGCCTAACTTGGTATTTAGGTTCTTAATGACTTATTTATTACTTGCCTTCCTAGGAAAAGGCTTGGTCTTCACCAGCTGTCTGACATGGGATACCACCACATAAACTCAGTAGCTGCAGAAATTCCTGTTCCCTGTCCCTGCTTAGTGCAGCGGGCAGGCTGGGAGCTGGCAGGCAGCTTAGGGAGAGGGAACCCTGCCTGGGGAGATTCCTGTCTCCCAAGGCCTGGGACCTCACTGCCCACTTGCAGTCCTTCCACTGCAGTGCACTGCCTTCTACACAGCAATGGGTACAGGATTGGTGACCTTTCCCATTCTAGCCCCTTTACTGTAAAAGCTGTTTTAGTTGCAGAGTGATAGAGCGTGGGGGAGGCACTGCCTATTCCAACATTAGGAAAAGCCAGAGTTTGCAGTTCCCTTATGCATCCATGTATTACCTCAGATGTGTGACTAAGCTGTTTCTCAGAAAGTTACTGTATAGCAGTCTTTTTCTTAGCACCTTCAATTATTTAGATGTCTTTTGGGACTGTGTATTACTCTGCTCACAGCATTCTTTCCCAAGGTATAGCTCTGCTTACATATAAACTCCTCAGCACAAGAAAATGTTAACAGCACTACAGCACTACATTGTGTGCCCCTGGGAGAGGGGCAGGACTGCCTGAAGGAAGAGCACAAAATGGGGGAGAGCATAGGATACTCAGAGGAAGCTATTTGTGGGAGAAGGTACGGAGGGCGGAGTGGTTTGGGTTTTCTTTTCTTCCTTTCTTTCCTTGTGTATAGAGATGTATATTTAGGTAGATAAAGCATATAGAATACAGAAAACAGTAGCAGAAGAAACAAACCTCTTCAGGGAGAAGGTGATGGGAAGCAGTGGAGGAATTTGTTTGTACCTCTGGGTACCAATGGTACTTCCTGAGTTGAAGTAGGATGTTGGGGAAGAAGACTTCATCTGCTACATCACTTTCATCTCTGGGGAAGGATGTTAGTGAAACTGCCTAGATACAGCACAGATGTGGTCAGAGGCTAAACTTACTGCCCAAGCAAATACAAAATTGTTGTATTATAAGACTAGTACCAAATCTCTTTAAAGAGGAGCACAATATGTCCTAACATACAAACACAGCATGACTTTTCTTTTTGCCTCCTCCCTGCCAGAGATTCTCATCCAAATATTGACCAATTCTGACCTTGCTTAACTTACGAGCTTTGACAAGATTACAGCTCATGAAAGTATGGTTGCGGGGCTAATATTTGTAAAGTGAGTTTATGGAATAAGACCATATAAATTCATTTTTATGACTGAGCACATATAAAAAAGTTATAGGTCTCGGTGTTCACTCTACTTTGGAACCCAGTGGTTTCTAATGAATCACTTTTATTATGTAGGCAGTTTCTTAGTTGGAAGGGAGGACCGGTGACCGAGAAGCCATGGGGATAAATTCAGACTCGGTGTAAGCATATGAAGCATTGTTGAAGTCAAGGGAGTCATGACCAGTTACAGCAAAGCTGAATTGGACTCCTGAGTTTTGCTGAAGTGGCTTTCACATGAGAATACATAGGCCAAAGGTGAGCCATCTATCTCAAAGTCCTTGAACTTCAGATTAGTTCAGATAGAAGGTAACCTGTGCTGCAGTCATCCACAGATTTTATCTTCATAATACAAATACTTTGTGGAAGTTGTTTAGAAAACCCAAAAGTACTTCTGCATATATGTCCATATACTAAACCCAAAAACATTGCTAGAATTCTACCTTCCATAGTAGAATACAGAAGATAAAGTGATACAGAGAAGATGTAGGGATTAACTTCTATAAACCTTTGACTGTGTGTGTATATGAATTAAGTATTTGCCCTACTGATTGAGGACTGTATTTAATTATTATGTTCTTAAAAAAAAATACAGTATTTCTGAGGGGGTTGAGTTCATGAAAAAAAATTATTGCAATCTCCTTGTGGTTGAAGGGGACTTTGTTTATTCATTTTAGGGATTAATGAGGAAGGGTCCAGGTCATCACATACATAGTGCATTAGTGGATTACTTTTTCA